AAATGGCTTTCTGGTCATTTGTCAGTGTGCTTTCATCTCTATATGGTCTCTTTTTTGGTTTGCCTTTCTTTACATCTGACATCGTTAAGCCTTCATATTCTGTTAAATCATACATCTTTATTTCAGTAAGATTCTTTATGTTTGTCAAGAAGAAGTCATAGTGCATTTCAACAATACCTGCAGCATTTGCTTCTATCTCTGATATAAAGTTCTCCTTCAAGAGCTGATGTAGTAATGTTCCAATATTATTGAGGTTTAACGTAGAACATTCATACTTTCCACCAAGTTTATAACATACCATCCATCTCTGTTGCGAGTTTATTTTAATTTTCTCTAAGAGTCTCATGAAAACCTTACCGAAATGTTTGTGTAAGTAGTCTCTGTTTGGTTCATCTAAAGCTTCGATGTTAAAGTCAATGAGTCTATTGCCTGACTTCACATTTCTCTTCCTATTCTCTTCATCTTTCTTTAACCATCTCTCACCTTCTTTTGGTTTGTCGTCAATGGAACGAATGACATCGTTAGCTTTGCGAACTTGTTCTATAGCACTTTTAAACATCTCTCTTCTCTGTTGTTTCAGTGTGTCATCTCTCTTTCGTGTTTCACCAACGTTTGCATTGTCAGCTTTGTTATGTCAAACATCTCTCTTCTTACTTCATGAGGTACAGCTCTTCTTGTTTCACCAACGTTTGCATTTGTTATGTCAAACATCTCTCTTCTTACTTCATGAGGTACTGAACGTCTATGATATAAGTCAATAGCAATGTCATTTAAAGGAAATGCTCTTGCATGGACTTCGTCCTCGCCGCGTTGCGGCTTTATGAACTCATGAATTCTATCATAACTTATTGCACCATTATAGTCTTTAATGAAGTCAGCGAGTGCTTTTTTGTTTGTTGCGTAATGCTTTGCAACATCTATATTAGCTTCTGTAAGAAGTTGTTTTATTTCCGAGTGTTCTAACTTAGACAACTTCCGATACATCTTTAGTAGGAAATAAAAAAAATATTTTTTGAAAAAATTAGATTAGATTTTTTTAAGTTATTTTTCAAAATAATTTAATATTTTTATTTTAATGAAACACATGCAAGATTGCAAGTTCTTTTCATACAATGCTCTCGCTACTGCCATCAAGAATGAGTTCAATAATGCTTCAAACGTTAATGTTATCTTTAACAAGAAGTTTGTGAAAGAATCTAAGTTTGGTCAGTATGTCAGACCATTAGCTATCGTCATTGACCGCAAACGTTATACTTCACAAGAGTTAGCAGTAGTTTTGAAACAAAAGGGTTTCTTCGTGAATGTCAAAGATACACACTATACTGTCATAAAGAACTCCAACATTGACTTCTTCAGTATTGCTATGAATCTTTCCGAACAGAAAGAATATAAGAAGGGTGAAACATCTGTGAAATATTATCCTTCATCTCTGAAGACAATAACGAACAAAGATGTTATACAAAAGTTCTTACCAAAGGTTGAAGAAGCTTCAATTGACATTGACGAAGGAAGTGAAATGGTTGAAGAAATTGACCCTGAAGCTATTTAACCAAAAATATATTTTTGGTGAAGAGGTGAGATATCACCTGTTTTTTCACCTCATTCTCTCTTCGTTAATGTTGTCGTGACTTCTTCGTTAATGTTGTCGTGACTTCTTCTTAATGTTTCGTGACTTCATTCTTCCTCTTTGAAGTTATCGAAATATTCTGTTATTTTTTCCTTCAGTAATGTTAAGTCTTCTTTGAAGGTAAGTATTGTGCAACCTTTGATGTCATAGTGTGTTTGAGGAAGAGTATTTTTGACAATTTCTTTTATTTGCTCATTCGGTGTCATTGAAATCGGTAAGTTTTCACGATAGAACCAGTTTCTGTCAGATTTATATATTTTAGCAAGGTCGTAAAAGCTTTTGTTGTTTCTTCTGACTAAATGCAACATAACCATATCTCTATCTTCTTCTTTCTCCAACTCTTCAGTATAAATCATATACTTATAACTCTTTTCCTTTCCTTTTGGTACTGAACGTGGTATTCTTTTCTGTATGCTTTTGTCTTTGGATTCAATGACTTCATCTTTTGCTTGAAGTTTCTTTTCCATCTCTCCACGTTCTGCTTTATATAGTTCATCTAACATCATGAAAATATAACAAGCATAACGAGGTGAAGCCCACATTGCTACAGCATTTACTAAAAGTCTATGAACATAATAACCTTTCAAACCAGGTGCCAAATTCTTGCGATTTTCGTACGGAATCTCTTCCCTCGGTTTTCCGAGGGAAGCAATCATATGAGGAAATTCTTCTAAAAGTTCTTTTGCCTGTTGGTTTTCAAACCAATGATATGCTTGCTTTGTAGAACGAAGAGCGTTCATTATACTTTGCATTTGATACATATCATCTTTGACTGAACGAATGAGTCTCAATTGTTTGTTATATTGTATGTATTCGTATTCTTCATTTATGGCTTCATGAACGATAGCAGTTGTTGTGTTCTCTAATGTTGACATTACTGTTCTTACATACAGGATAAAAAAATAAATAAAATAAAAACTAACTTTATTTTTTCTGAGATAAACACTATTTCTTCACAACATTAAATTTTATCCTGTATGAAATGACTTTAAAAAGATTATTGACTGACTTCGAATACTATCTCATTGACGCACTGACAGACCCTCAAAACTGTGTTGAAAGTTCTTTAAGCTTTAAGATTGAAGGTACGACGCATTTTGTCTTCACTTACGTATTGAAAGAATATGACCGTTATCATAACGAAGTGAATCAAACACTAATAAAATTTGTAGATAAAAAATTGGTTAACAATGAATATTTTAAACGTGAAGACCCAAACACTGCTGGAGATGATGAAGAATACAGACAAGTTATTGAAAAAAATAACGCAAGATTAGATGCAATAGAAAAGAAGTTTAATGAATGTCTTACAAACACGTATGAATATCTTATGCAGTGGGAAGCCAGATGGAAATAAATTTACGTCAAATATGCAATTTATAAAATCTTATGTCGACAGGCTACGTAGCACAGTGGTCTAAGGTGGTGTTATGGAGGGGTCAGGGTCTGTGGTTCGAACCGCGACAGCGCCGTATTTTCTTATTTTCTTTGTTTGTCTTGTTTGTCGTGAATAAAAAGTGTCATAAAAGTGCTCTATCTTCCACGGGAATAAATAAAAAATTTACTTTATTTCTTCTTTATTTCTTTGTTCCCGTGGAAGAAGGGTTTTGCTGTTTTTTCTCAGCCGAAATCAATGATTTTTTCATTTTTGGAATCCTTAGCGAATGAGGAATCTTTTCTCTCGTGGAAGCTTTGACCTAAAATATAATTTAGGTGAAGAGGTGAGATGTCACCTGTTTTCTCACCTCTTTTTTCACCCTCGTGACTTTGTCATAACTTCTCGTAAATGCTTTGTCATAACTTCTTCGTAAATGCTTTGTCATAACTTCTTCGTAAATGCTTTGTCATAACTTCTTCGTAAATGCTTTGTCATAACTTCTTCGTAAATGCTTTGTCATAACTTCTTCGTAAATGAGTGTAAATGACCAAAAATATATTATAGGTGAAGAGGTGAGATGTCACCTCTTTTTTCACCTAATTTCTCACCCTCAGCCGCTAAGCGGCGAGACCCAAAGGGTCTTGAATTTTCATGAATTTCCTTAAGATAGAAAAATAACGTTAGTTTTATTTTTTATTTCGGGAAAATTCACGAAAATTCAAGAGGTGAAAAAAGAGGTGAAAAAACAGGTGAGATCTCACCTCTTCACCTAAATTATATTTTTTGGTGAATTCAATAAAAATAAATGGTTCATTTACTCACAATATTTTTTACAAAACGACCCCAAACTTTTAACTTCTTTTCTGCAGCTTCAAATGCTATCTTAGCGAGTTCATATTCTCTAAATTCTCTCTTTAAATCTTCTTTTCCCATTGGTCTATTCGTATGGAGAATCTCTATAACCATAATATATCTCACGTTCATGTTCTAATTGTTTCACACATTTTTCCAACTTCTTCTTCGAACAAAGGTTAGCATTCTCCACTGTATCTTCGAGTTCTTCTTCATCTAACTTCTCATGAACTTTCTTGTCTATGGAGTCCATAATATCTTTGACATAAAATGCATACTTTACAGAGCACCATTCAGCAACAAAATGAACGAGGTCAGCATGTATGTAAATACCTTTGAATTCATTCATAACGCCCTTAGTAAGCTCATAAAATGCTTGTTTTGAGGTTGAGCCACTTTTGGCTCGACCGTATTCTTTCAACCAAAACTCAAGAATTTCCTGCATTTTAGCACTATTGAGAAATCTGTTTAAATGGTTTAACTTTCCTGCTTCTCTCGCCATCTTTGTTGCATTAATGTAACCATCCTTGTCTCTACGTAAGACTTCAATACCATTATAAGTGCCTTTTGTGAATGTTTCACCATTAGATTTGTTCGTGAATGTTTTTGCTTCGACTGACATTTCTGTTCTTACATACAAAATAAAAAAATAAAAAAAATAAAACTAACTTTATTTTTGGTCTTTTGTGAAAATTCACGAAAATTCAAGAGGTGAAAAAAGAGGTGAAAAAAGAGGTGACATCTCACCTCTTCACCTAAATTATATTTTTGTCTGATTTACATCCAACGAAAAAGTTTAGAAGAATTTTCTTATTCTTTCTGGCATGTTTTTATCTTTCCAGTACTCCCGCTCTAATGGTCCCAGATGAGTTGGTTTAGATTCTCTCAAGTTCTTAGATGGTATAACATCTTCAACGCCTCCTTCATATCTTACTTTATAAGTGTCATCGTTTGTGTTATAGTCAAGTATTTCAATAACCACTCCTCGCTTTGCTTCGTCAATGGTTTCAGCAAGTTTGCCATTACTACTTTCGACTAATTTATGTCGAGGGTAAAATGCTATGGAGTCGTCAGCAGCTTTTATAAGATATCCATTACCTTGCGTAGAGTCTACGATATAATAATTTCGACTTAACCTTAAACGTTTCTTTGTCAATGGTTTGTCGTCAAGAACTACACGAACTTTTGTACCAGGAATGAGAGTAAATTGTGTTGAATTTCTGATATTTTGTGTTTGGCTTCGTTTCTTTTGTATATACTTTTCTTCTTGTTGTTGTGTCATTGAATTTGGTGTATGTCCTGTTGTAGAATGTGTTGAGGAATTATATACTTCGAGAAAATGTTTCATTGTTTCTTCGGTAAAGTCTCGCTCTTGATTTAAATCTCTGAGAGTCCTTATGAAGCGGTTAATGATACCGAGTATGTTATGGTTATGGTCTTCAGTAGTGTAGTGAGTTATGTTATGCTTAATGAGAAATTCTGTGATTTCGTTGCTGAGGTATGCACCGTCTTGGTCTGATGTTAAAATACTTGGGCTATGTTCTGCTACAAACTTTTGTAAAACTCTTAACACTTCATGAGTTCCTTTATTTCTCATTATATACGCATATGCTTTACGAGTGTTAACATTTATGAAGATGAGGAATGGTTTATGTCCTCCTTTTCTGCTTTGAATGAGAGTGTCAAATTGGTATGCGTCAGGAGTGTTGGAGTAAATTGGTAAAAAGTAGTCGTAAGGATTTATTTTTGTTTGATGTACAACATTTTTGTCAAAGAACCTTTTCACTTCAGCTCTGTTAGTAAATCCCGAACTCTTTGCAGCTTCATTGAACTTCTTAAATGACCTCCATGGATGTTGTTCGAATACTTCTTTCAAGCTCATTTATGTAAAGTTAAAGATTTTAACCAACTCGTATCCAAGCGTGCATTGTTATATAAGGAGGCATATAATCTTTTCCATTACCTGCTGGGTCTGTAATACCAGCTACAACATGTGTATGATTTCCTGCAGTTCCACAGAAAATACCTGTGCTAACATCTTTGGGGTCAGTTGTGATATCATATCTATTCATTCCCTGTCTATTCGAACCCGCTGCAAGATTTATATAACCTCTTTTTGTTATTGAATGTGAATGGTTTCCTTCCACAGATGTTCTTCCACTGAACCTATGCATATGTGAAGGAAGGTTTTCAATACCTATTTTCTTTGAACCTCCCATCTTCATTGACTGCGTATTAGTGTAGAATGGAAAACTGTCAACTATTTCATACCATCTACCACCAAATAAAGTGTTTGGATTTATTGGATTCATAGACGTATAAACAGCTCCTATAGGATATATTAAATCATATATGCTCATAACTCTATAAACATATTCTAAAGAACTTATGTCATTAAATACCATTTGGAATGTATCTCCCGGATGAAATGTTGCATTTGTTCCACTTTTATAATGTAATGTTAGTTCAATAGAATTATCCAAGAAAAATTCAAAAGTATCTGGTTGAAGACCTCTAACAAATTCAAATGGAGTTGCTGGTTCACCATTTATAATTTCTGTTGTAAATGTCATTGTATCTGGTTTCGAAAATTTCTTTGTTAGTTCTGCATCCACATAAGTTTTATCTGCTTTCTTGTCTAACATTGCTGGTAGTTCATATGCTTCAAAGTTTCTGGCATGATCTTCGGTATTCCTGCAACTCTTATCTAAATTGTTAAGAGTATCTTTTACGCTTGTACTCGGATTCTCTAAAGGTGCACTTGAACCAAGGTCAAAGTTCAATATTATGTCGTCTGCTCTAACAGTAGTGAAGGATTTATGTGTATGGTTCTTGTCTGCTTTCTTGTCATATAAATCTTGAGCAGTGAATTTAATATTATGTTCATCCTTCATGACATAAACATCTTTACATCTAATGTTTCTCATCGTCGTTATGTCGTCATCCGATGTTAAACCTTGTGGAAAGTTAGGAGGTTTACAATATAATGCATCCCCACCAGTTTCTTCAACCGTTCCTTCAATACTTTCTATAGCAACAGTTGTGAAGGATTTATGTGTATGGTTCTTGTCTGCTTTCTTATCTAACATTGCTGGTAGTTCATGTGCTTCAAAGTTTCTGGCATGACTTTCAATGTTCCTGCAACTGTTATCTAAACTGTTAAGAGTATCTTTTACGCTTGTACTTGGATTTTCTAATGGTGCACTTGAACCAAGGTCAAAGTTCAATATTATGTCGTCTGCTCTAACAGTAGTGAAGGATTTATGTGTATGGTTCTTGTCAGCTTTACTGTCTAAAGAAGTTTGAAGTTCATTTATATCGGAGATGTTGTGTTTATGAGATTTCAAAACTTTGTTCGTTGCGTCAAGTTCAACTTTGTCAGCTTTACTTTTAATAGCATCTTCAAACGTTATTTTTGCCTTAACTCTTAACATAAATCTTGGTTCAACTAATACACCATTAACAGAGAAAGTAGAGGCATAAATTTCATCGTTATAACTAAATGCTTCTGGTGCTTTACCTGTGTCATACTGTACAGTACAGCTTATGTCATAACCTTTAGCACGAATGTATTTATATCTTCTTTCATTAACATTTTTTGTCTTCGCTTCATCACTTCGTGTTAAATATCCATGGTAGTCCGTTATAATCTGTTCGTCTGAAGTTATATAATGAACGTGGTTTTTATCTGCTTTTTCGGCTAATTTCTCATTAACATCATTCACTTCTAATTCAACTCTTCCGCCAGAACTCTTATTATCATTAATCTTTTTCATTAATTCGGTAATTACGTCATAAAGACTATATTCTGTTTTCGGTTTTGTAAATAATGAGTCAAAATTTCTTTTCATCATTACATCGCTGACATTAATGATATCACCAATTCCTTTTTCATTTATTCTCTTCATTAATTCTGCAATAATGACGAATATATAATCTGTTAATTTATTCTCTTCATCGAGGGTTATAGAATGTTTTGAAATTGAATCATTAACTCCTCTAAATAAATCAATAACTTCAGGATACACGTTTTTAATGTCTTGAATAACCCGACCAGTATCCTCGCCACTATGTGGCTCTGAGCCCGTTGGGCTCTGTTGTTCATGTTCTTCGTTCCCGTCGTTACGTGGTTTTATATCTCTAACCATCATCAACGCAGCCATAACCGGAGGGTTTGTTGCTACCTGTTCGAAAATCCGTCCGTTATGTATGGTATATCTAAATAATTTCTTTGTGTTTGTTAAAACATTTGAAACAAGTCTTTTAAAACCATCTACAAAATTTCCTGTTTCACCTAATGTTCTTGCAGCATTTACAAGCTCACCCATTCCCGCTTTTGACCCCAAAAACGTCCATATTGCATTTATTTCACTCTGTATAGTTGTCCATTCAGCGAAACTAACACCCGCATTCGCTAAGCTGAAAATGAAATTCAGTGGATCGAACTTAATTCCACCTTCTTTTTCAATTTCAACGAACTCACTAACATGAGATTTTAAATATTCTTTCGTTAAAATTGTTTTCCCCGATGTTATGTCATTAACGAAACTATCACCGTCAAAAGTTAACGAATTCAATTTCGTCGTTGATGCTTTTATTTCATACACCGCTTTATCGATAGTTTTTGGCTCACCTTCTTTAGAAGCATATGAAACATTAATGAATGAATTATATGTATTCGTGAATGAATTAAAATCAATGATTTTCATTAATGACGCCTTTAATGATTCATTAACTGTTGAATCCCTTAAAACAATTAATGAACTGTCATGGGCTTCGCCCTGGTCGCTTCGGTCTGAAAGACCTTCAGGACTCAAAGAGTCCGTTTGCGACTTTATGAAAGGTACACTGCAAACCGTCGAGTTTGGATCAAATGCTGTAGTTGGTGCAGGAATATTAATGATATAAGTCATTAAATCATTAAGTGACGTAAATAATGTTGTCGTTTTTGATTTAATTTCTTTAGCATCTGTTATATATGGTAATTTTATTTCTGTAGTTTCTGAATTAAAGATATTCGCTAAAATGTTTTGTAAACTGTTTTGAACAGCTGTGTAAACCGTTGAATTCGGAACTCTTACGATTTCACCATCCTTAATAAAAGGCATTGTACATCGACGTAGTGCTTGGGTCAAATCTTTCGGGATTATAATTCAACATATATTCTAACGCTTCATATACAGACCTATAAACAGTTGTGTCGTTCTTCATGACAACTTCACCATTTACAATGAATGGCATAGTGCATGGAGTTAAAATAGGGTCAAACTTTTCATAGTCCTTCCATGTTATGTATTTCTCGGTATTTCCATCAGAAATAACAATATATTTGTCAGTAAGTGTGAGAGAGTATTGACCAAAATATAAACGTTTAGCTCTGTCAGCTTCATACGCATATGCAGCAATACTCATATTTTAATGAGAATAAAATGTTGTTCTATTTGCAAAGTACAGACCCAAACGAATACGGGACAGTAAAGCTACAAACAAACTTAGGTCTTCAGAATGAAGCGCTTGCTTTCAGAGTTGTTGACTTCAATACTATCGCTTCATTCGTTATAACAGATGAAACAGATTTCATGGAGCTTGAAATAGATGGAAAGAAGCACGAAATAAGATTTCACAATAATGTAGAATATAAGATGGAAACATTAGCTGGAGTGTTAAATGCGCTCATAAATACTACAATAAACAAGGAGAACGAAGAAAACTTAATGAATGTTAAACTTATTGCAGGAGTTTTGAAGTTCAGTTATGCGAAGGAGTTTAAGATAACACGAATGAGTCATAGAGTTCAATTGCTTCTGGGAGCATACCATATGACATGTCCTTTGAAAAGTGTTGACAAAACGATTGAGATGAAATCTGTTCCATACGTATGTTATGGTAATTGTTTATACGTTGAGTCAAAAATAGCTAATGTCACAGGTATTTCAGGAGTTAATAGTAAAGGTTCAGTAGAATATAAATCCTTCTGTTATGCAGTCAATTCAATGTTCATTCCAAACGTTCCTGTCATAGTAACTCATTTAGGTAAATGGGTTCGCATTAGTCCTCATAATTTGAAAGACATGCAATTCAGACTTGTTGACTTTCAAGGAGAGCCTGTAGAACTGAAGGCACCAGTGCGAATGACTGTTGAAGTTGACTTTTTAGAAAATATTAAATGCAACAGCTTACAAGAGAACTCAGAGCTAAAAATATAAAGTATGAATGTTATGTATTAGGTCATGAACTTTGGTTATTGCTGTTTGATGAAACAAATGAGTTAGTTATGTCAGTCAAGAGAACAGAAAAAGGCGTCAAAGGCGCCGAGCGCAAAGCGCTATATTGTGTTAGTGAAAACTGCACCAAGTCAATAAGATTAGGTTTGCATTATGAAGATGAGTTCGATACTGTTGAAGAAGTTTTGGATAGATATTACAAATTGCTTTAATTTACTAAAACATATTTCAAACAAAGCTTATATTCTGTTGAAAGTTTTGTATACTCGTTCGAATATTTATACTTAAACTCAACTCCTGTAGTTCCTGGTGTTTCAATGATGCGGATGTTACCTATTTTCATGAATGGTGGCGTTTGACCACAGCATTCGATTTCAGGGTCGAGATAGTCAATGACACATTGTTTCCCTGTTATTCGTGATATAACATTTTCAAGGTCCTCCTTTGTTAGAATTATTTGGTTCTTGCTTATAAGATTTGTCAAAAGCTTCTTATCGTCTTTGAGTAAAATTGTTTGGTATAACTGAAGAAGGTAATGGTCTACGTTATCTGAAGGATTTGTTTGAACATTTGTGTAAGGGTTGTCGTTGGCTTCTCTTGAAAGAATTTGGTCCAGTGGTGGATACTCTAACTTAACATCTGATGTAGCGTTAGCGTTTGAAGCTGTTTAAATTCACGGATTTCAGTTCTGGTTCTCTTTCAAACACTCTGAACTATAGTTCTTTATGACAATATTGTTTGTCGTTCGTGAGTCAACATTTGATGTTGGTTCAATTGGAACATTAACGGCACCAGCTAAGATGGATTTGCTTCTCATTTCATATAGAATAAAAACCTTTTATATGTATGAAATGAACAATATACTCGACAAGGGTTTGAATGTAAAGCTAACGAATGAAAATATTGTTGAATTCACTGAGACAGGTGCTGTGTATAAAGATGTAGAACTACTGAACAAAAGAGCTAAGGGAAGAAGCAGGAACATGAACAAAGGGTGGAAGCCTATAAAAATTTATGTCAATGATGGCTCAGGAGGTTCAAACATAAAGTATGCAGAAAGTTATAGAGTTTATGCTCTCAAAGGTGAAAAGCCTTCATTTAAGAACAGCTATTCTAACGCATATCCTCAAAAGTTAACGGATGGGGAAGTGGATGATATGAATGACAGCAAAAATATTAACAGAAATGGCGACAGAGATGCATGGAATTTGTTTACCATCAGTCAATTGAAGGTTAAACTTTAAAACAATGTTGGTCGTTCCCATGGAATATTTTTGACTTTAATGGTATTAGTCATGATATGAATCTCAAGGTATGAACGAGGAGAGATGAGAGACTTATATGCTTCCCAAATTTCTTCAAAAGGTAATGTTATACCTGACTGTTTCCAAATGAGTTCAATATCATAACGTGAGAAACCTTGAAAGATAACGAAGTCAGTTATGAGACGTTTTATGTTTAAAGCAAGAAAACGCCATGTTTGCATAAGTATTGCTACAGTTAAGTGGTAATGTCTGACTTTAGTAATGATGTTAGCTAATGGTGAGTCAGGCTTTGACACTAAACCTTTTCCGGCGAAGTCGTCGCAAACGAGCAGAGTATTTGAAGGATACTTTTTGAAGGGGTATTTTGAAAGTTTTGACAGAATGTAGTTTGTAAGTCGTTTCATATCGTAAACTCCTGAGTATTGACGTAAGTGGTGTTTGTCAATAATTCTTTCCATCTCTTCTGAAGTCTTTTGCATTCCTGACTGTATAAATTCAACGATGGCATAATATTTCCTCTTACGTCGAATGTAACGTTGAAGAAATTCAATGAGTTCACTGTCTGGAACTTTAACGACAGAGGCTTGAACTTTTGACATAAATGTTTTCGCTGTTGAGTCCATAGAGTCTGAAGTTGCTGATATAATGATTTGGTCATAATATGAGTCATTTCCTAAACGCTCTGTTATGAGTATATGACGAATGAGGTTAAATGTCTTACCTGAACCCATCTTTCCACAATAGAAATACACACCATTTGAACAGAATTCATAATCTTTGCTGAAAGGAAGAATGAGAGAAGAGTTAAGTTTGTCTGTAGTTTCATTCATGTCTTCATCTACGTCATGTATTAAATGCTTCATTTTATCTCCATTAAAAATGCAAGTCAGAAATATTCAGAACATAGCACCGAGTCTAACTGACAAGAGTATAAAGATATACTATGAACACGTTATGATGAAACCAACCAAAATTCAAGAAAGTCAGTATACTTATGAATATCCAAGACACTGGGTAGAGTATGTAGGAGGTGAGAAAGCTATTGAAATCAGACAGGTTCGAAGTATTCCAGCAGGAAGGACAATATTATTGAAGAACTTTAATGTTTTGAGGTATAATGATGAAACAAAGAAGCAAGATAGTTTTCCATTGCTGTGTATGTGAACCTAGACACAGGAGATGACATGAAAGTTTTTAACACAAAGCTTCAAACGGTAGTGAGAGAACAACTGACTGCGGAAGGGCATCCATTACCTTCAGAAGTTACCATAGCATATAATTTTGAAACAAACTCAATAGATTTTAAAGTCATCTCTGCAAAGAAGTCAGGTTTTACATTTAATGAAGCAGATGTATATTCGAATGAAAACTTCAAAGCTATTGCATGGTTAGATAATGACGATTGCTTTAAGAAAATATTTAAATTCAGTGACTCAACGATGTCAATAGATGACCTTCGTGGAATGTTACCATCGACGTTTACAGTAGAAGGTTCAGCAGGATTGCTTACAAGATTGTCAATTGGTGGTATTTGGTCTCGTGAGAACATTGTTATAAAAATAGGTGTACTTAAAGTCAATGACAGGCGGATAGACCTTGTATGACACCTTTTCCCGTGTTATAG